GCCGGCCCCGCCTCCCTGCCCCTGCCACCCCGCCCTGCTCTTGCCCCACCCCCCGCAGCCCTGGGCCCCTCCCCTGAGCAGGCCCGCCCTCAGGCTCAGACACCATCCACCTCCACCCCGACTCTGCCCATCGAGGGTCCAGTCCCACCCTCTCACCTGCCTTCTGGCCTCTGTCCTGGTGCCCCCGTCCCACCCCCATTCAGCCTACCCCTCGATGTCCTGTGCCCACCCTGCCCTGGGGGTCCCCTCCCGCCGGGCCGTCCACACGCACTCCCAGGCTGCGGGAACCCGAGGGACCGGCCACCAGCCTCACCGTCTTCCACAAGGGGGTGGTGGCGTTTCGCCCGCAGCCCTGGGAGTTCTCCATGCAGCAACGGTCGGGGACTGTGTTCTCCCCCAGCACCGGGTACCAGTCCGTGTAGTCGGAGACGCCGCAGCATCGCATCTGCCCAGCGGGGAGCGGGGCGGTGCTCAGATACATCACGGCCTGTCCTGGCCTCCCCCAGGGCTTCCCCTGCCCAGGCCAAGGCCAGACAAACCACCTTGCTCTTGACCCTTCTTTGGGCCCACGCCAGGACCCTGGGTCCTAGAGGCCAGGGCAGGAGAGGGTCAGCCCCTCCCTGGGACTTAAAACAGGGCTGCTGGGGGCAGAGCCATGTTTCCCTTAGATTCAGAGGCTCCCTCCTGAGCCAAGCGCAATCAGGGATGCAGATATGTCCCTAAGATAAATTCTGGCACTCGTTCAACAGTGTGTCACCCGCCACGCTCCCTCAGGCCTGTCCACTCCTGTGTCCTTGTCCCCCTCTTCCGATCCCACGGCGTCGTGTCTAGCCAGTGTCTCAGCGGGGCTGCAGCCCCGCCCCATCCCAGTTAAGTGAAGCGCAGAAAGGGCAGGGCCAGGCACGGTGGCTCAAGCCTGTAGGCCCAGCACTCTGGGAGGCCGAGGCGGGAGGACTGCTTGAGCTCGGGAGTTTGAGACCCACCCGGGCAATACCGCAAGACCTCGTCTCTAGAAATAATTTAAAAATTAGCTAGGCATGGTGGCCCTGAGGAGGCTGAGGTGGAAGGATCACCCGAGCCCAGGAGGTCGCGGTGGCAGTGAGCTGTGATGGCGCCACTGTACTCTAGCCTGGGTGACAGAGTGAGACCCTGACTTTAAAAACATGCTGGAAGCTTGTCTGCCTGGGCAGGCAGCAGCAGCCCTGGGCCACCACCCTCCTCCCTGCCAGGCTCGCCCAGGCAGCCGACCCACACCTCGGCCTGGATGATGTTCCAGGCGTTCTTCAGGCCCACGTTGTTCTCGGTGTTGTACAGCCGCAGACCCTCCTTCAGATCTTTCTTGGCGTTCTCGTTCACCTGTCGGGACGCCACAGGTCAGCTGGGACCAGGACGCGACGCCTCTCCCCAACCCAGGTCGCCCGGGACTGCTGTGACCGGACCCGGCCCCTCCGGGGGCTCTGCTCCCCGGTGTGGGGCACGGGGGTGCCCATGCGTGCCGCATGGGTCTGCAGCAGGCCCTGATGCGCCCACGGCCTCCCAGCAGAGCTCAGCTCAGGCCAGGGCTGGGACACCAGGCAGAGCACAGACGGCGTGCCTCTGACTCCCAGCCCCAGGGCCAGCCACACACAGGCTGCTCTGCCACAGCTGCATGCATGCATGCGCGCGCGCGCGCGCGCGCACACACACACACACACACACACACACACACACACACACACACACACACACACCCCATCTTCCCACAGACCGCCCCTTTCAAAACACACCCTAGCAAGGGAAGGGGGAAAATCAATCATCTGATCTTAGGTCCACCTCTCACCAGCAAGTGACGTAACCTCTCTCACTTCTGCTTCATAGATGAGAGTAAAATAAAACATCTGCCCCATGGGCTGGTTGTTGTGGGGGAAGCAGTCCTTACAAAGAGCCAACAACAGGCTGGCACAGAAAAGTCTCTCCTTCCCTTTCGCGGGGGCAAAACTGAAGAATTATTCTCTCTAATCCTCACCATGCCTCTACCTTTCGGCATGGTGTAGGCACTAATTCAAGAACCCAAGAACCGGCTGGGTGTGGTGGCTCATGCCTGTAATCTCAAGCACTTTGGGAGACCGAGGCAGGAAGATTGTTTGAGCCCAGGAGTTAGACACCAGCCTAGGCAACAGAGTGAGACCTCGTCTCTACAAAAAATTAGAGCTGGGCTCAGTGGCTCAGCCTGTAATCCCGCCGCGCCTTTGAGAGGCTGAGGTGAGTGGATGGCCTGAGCCTGTGGGTTCGAGACCCGCCTGGGCAGCGAGACCTCATCTCTACAATAAATCAAAAAATCAGCCAGGCGTGGTAGCGCATGCCTGTAATTCCGGCTACTTGGAAGGCTGAGGCGGAAGGATCGCCGGAGCCCAGCAGGTCGAGGCTGCGGTGGTGGGGAGCAGCCACTGCACTCCAGTCTGGGCGACAGAGTGAGACTCCAACTCAAAAAAACCAAAAAACATCCCCAAAACAAAAACAAACAAAATTTTAAAAATGAGCTGGGCATGGTGGCACATGCCTATAGTCCCAGCTACTTGGGAGGCCAAGGAGGGAGATCACTTGAGACCATGAGTTTGAGGCTGCAGTGAGCTGCGATTGTGCCATCGCACTCTAGCCCGGATGACAGAATGAGTCCTTGATTCAAAAAGAAGAAAAGTACCCAAGAAGCAACCCTGGCACAGTGCTGGTGTGCAGAGCTGCCCGCGGCCTGCTACACCCTAAGAGACGGGAAGCCTGGCCCACCATTCTCTGGGGGACTCCTACAGTGCCCCTCCGCTTGACTGTGAACTGTCCGGCCTGGCGAGGCGGCAGGGGTCACCCTACCACCCTCCTGAAGCCAAGGTGCAGCCCGTGCCTAGAGCAGAACCCTGTCCACAAAGGACTCAAGAAGGGGAAGAAGAGCCACCAGTCCGTCACCTGGAGGGCTTCCCTTCTTTCTCACAGGCTGCGCTCAAGTCACCCAGCCCAGCCATCTAGTGAGGTCTGAATCGCCTCTCCAAGCAGCTTGATTACTTCTGGTGATGGGGAGCTCGCTCGTGGCAGAGGCCGTCCACTGCCATCCCCGGTCATTTTGGAGGATCCCACCTCCCAAGAATCACAAAGTCGTCACCTCCCCATCCCCCCAGACTTGCCTACCCAGGGCTGTCCCCCTAAAGCCTGCCATCTGGGTCTTCCCAGGTGGCTTTCCAAACTGTCGTGGTTCCGCCCTCCTCTCGGCACTTTTCCTCTGCCCAGGGAAAGGCCCAACCCCAGGAGGGGTGCCATTCCACGCACCCCTTCTCCTTGGTCAGGCTTACCTTGTCCATGTAGACGAAGAAGAGGATGAGTAAGATCAGCTCTGCTAGGAGGATGACCAACAGGACAATGAAAAACTGGAAAGGAAAGTTCCAGGCATGGGTACGTGGCAGTGGGGAGGACGGGGAACACAGGGGGACGGGGGAACACAGGGATAAGGGGCGGCAGGGCAGGGCGTCCCAGGCTGGGACCAGGACAGGGACATCAGGCAGACAGCTCATCAGGACCGGGCAGGGCAAGTGGGCAGGCGTGACCCATGACATAGAAGAGGGACGTGGTCAGGCGCGGAACATTCTAGAAGCAATCTCCCTGGGCTCCGATTGGGCACCAGCTGGCGGATGCCCCAGGCCTCTTCCGTCCCGGTGGCCCAAGTGCAGGGGGGGCCGGGGTGGGGAGCGCTGGGGACACGGGGACCCCACTTACACTGAGGAGGAGGCACTTGTTTTCCTTGATGGCCCCCAAGCAGCCCAGGAAGCCCGTCACCATGACAATGGTGCCGATGGCGATGACCAGGTTGGCTGCCGACAGCGACGGGAAGCTGGGGGAGAAGGTGGCAAAGTTGCCTTGGGACACGGACAGCCAGATGCCCACTCCAAGCAGCCCGCAGCCACAGAGCTGGAGAGGAAGGAGAGCCCGTTAGCCTGGCGCTTATCTTGCTTTCGCCTCCACAGAGCCGGAGTGGCTGCACACCCCCCGCGCCCAGCCCGGAGTCACCCAAGGGGGAAGAACGGGGCCACCGTCAGGGGTGGTCAGTGACCCAAACGAGTCCGTCGTCTGTGTGGCCCAGACAAATCCCCTAGCCTCTCTGTGCCTCAGTCTCCCCATCTGGAAGATGGGATTGCACTAGCTTTACAAACCCCAGAGGGGCACTTTGAGGCTCAAATTCAATAAGACACGGGCAGAAGCAAGCATCAAACACACTGAAGGCACGAGACACACGTGAGCGGCCGAGGTGCCAGGGTCCAGGAAGGAGGCCGGGCAAAGAGCAGGGCACTGTGGTCGGGGCACTGTGCCTCTGGGGTGGGAGGGGACACTCCAGTGACCGTGTCCTGCTGCCCTGACTCAGGAGGCTGGAGAACACACATCTCACATGCCGTCTGGCCGAGGGGTTGGCCAGACTACAGGGTGTGAGAGCCCACGCTGCCTTTGCCATCCATCCTGTAAGCCCGCTGCCCGCACAACCGGCCTCAACAACACCCCGGGGCTGCCAGCGCCTCACGTGGGGAAGTCCCCGTCTCACCAGTTGCAAACCTCCACATCTGCATCTTTTTTTTGAGTTGGAGTCTTACTCCGTTGCCCAAGCTGGAGTACAGTGGCACGCTCATGGCCACCCCAGTGTCGGCCTGCTGGGCTCTGACGATCTGTCTGTCTCAGCTTTCCAAGGAGCCAGAATTATAGATGCGCACTACCACACCCAGCTAATTTTCTGATTTTTTTATTGTAGAGACGAGGTCTCGCCAAGTTGCCCGGGCTGGTCTCGAATCCACAGGCTCAGGCAATCCACTCACCTCGGCCTCCCAGAGTGCTGGGATGACAGGCTGAGCCACCGAGCCCCGCCCTCATCTGCTCATTTTATGCTTGATACAGCTGGCATTCCCCCACCCAGCTCCCTCCTCCAGCTCAGGGGAAGTTTGCTGAGTCTGAGGAGCCCGTCAGCCCTCAGATGGTATTTATGGAGTCCCCAAGCGTGCAGTATGCCAAGCCAGAAAAGTTTTAGAGACCTGTTATCCAGGGGCCTCTATCCTGCAGGCTGGGAGTCAGATCCAGGGAGGACACTCAGAGACGCGGGACTGAGAATGTCCCATGCATGTGGGAATGCAAGAGGTGGGACAGACACCTCCCAAGGAAAGGCTCATGCCTTCACAAGCCCAGAGAGTGAGTGCCGCAGGTTCACAGCAGCCAGCCACGCAAGCAGGGACCCCGCCTTCACGAAGGGTCGGTTCTTACAGGGGACACTGCCCTCACGGAAGCAAACATACGGCGGAACTTCAGCCGCTGGCATGTGCCACGAAGAAAAATAAAGACGTGTGCGGAGTCAGAGAGTAACTGGGGAGAGGGCGGGCGGGCATGGCATCTGGGGAAGCATGATGCTTGAGCAGGGACCCAAATAAAGGGGGGCGCACGTGAATATCTGGGGGGGAATGTTCCAGATACCAGGAACAGCGAGTGCAAAGTCCTCGAGGTGGGGAATGAGTCTGGCCAGCCAAGGAAGAGCGGGCCGCAAGTGAGGTGACTCGTGGTGGGAGATTCGGTAGGCGGGTAGCCAGGGGACGGGTCAGCGGGGACCTCGCGGGTAAACAAAACACGGTGTCCTGAGTGTGACGGACGGGCCCTGAGCTGGAGGTGTGATATGAGATCTGGCTTGGCTTTTCAGCAGGTCACTCTGGCCGCTTTTCAGAGAAGACAGCACAGGGTCTTGGGGTCCCCAAGGAGGGTATCCGGAAGCTGCCGTGATAAGGCCGGAGCTGGTGAGAAATGATCCCACTTGGGACGTGTTTTGAAGGCCGCACCGGCAGGGCTTGCTGGGCTTTGAAGAATGAGTAGGGTTTTGATACACAGGGAAGCAGAGGTCCAGGCTGCATGGGGAGCAGAGTGTGGGTGGAGACCCCCACACATCGTGAACCCAGAGACGGGGCCGGGGCTGGAGGGGGACTCGAGCACGGTAGGTCGAGCAGCTGCCCGGGGCCCCAGCGCTGTGGAGGGGGGTCCTGCAGCCCCCTCCCTGGAGCAGCCCCAGCGTGACGGCTCCCAAGGTCTGGGCACGCTCAGAGACCCGCACGGGGTCCCACCGGGACGTCACGAAGATTCACGCGGGGAACGGGGGCCGCAGCCCCCACGGCCACGAGGTGGCGCTCCAGGCTGGCTCAGGAGCCCTTCGGGTTTGCCAGGGACAGGCTGAAACGCACACTGGACTTGTCCCTTGGACTTTCTTCAGTCTGGTCAGTTTCTAGGCTGCCGTCTCAATTTTTCTTTCATTAATCATGCCGTGGAAGATGTATGGTCTTCGTGCTGGAGATTTATGGCTCTCAAAGCCAGACCTCAGTAGGAGTAAGCAGAAAGCCCACTGCTGTGAAACAAGAAAGCTCTCTGCGAGTGAAGAGCCTGGGAGGGCCGGGCTCTGAGCTCTGGGGGCCCCGGAGCTGCGGGGTGCCCTGCACCCTGCAGTGGAGACATGTGGGGGGGCCCCCCAGAGCTCAGAGCCTCCCCCGGACCCGCCCTCGGCCTGAAGAAGTTCTCTGAGTATCGCTCTCTCCAGAAGACGCTTCTCACTGGGGGTGCACCTAGGGTGGAGTGGGGTCTCTTCTGTGTCTCCCTTCGCTCCCCCCCCTCCCCGGGACACTGCTGCGATGCCCAGGAGCCTCGGTCTGGGAAAACCCGGACAGGCTGGAACCCCAGGACCCGGCCACCTCTCCCCCCATGGGTTCTCTGGCTTCACACTCCACAACCTTCGACCTGGTCTGCAAGCGTCCCGGACCCGCTGGGAACCTCCTTCCACCACTCAGACAACACAGCCGGTGCCCTCCCCAGATCTGCTTCCCTTCCCACTCCCGGTCCAAGGCCCCACCAAGCCCCAGGTAAGAGCTGCCACCCGCCCTACAGGGGGAGCAGACCCCAGTCCTGGCTAGCCTTCCCCTGAAAGCCCTCATACCTGTCCCGGCCCCCAGCAAACCCCTACACACCCGGGGCATCGCACACCACCTCTGCCGGGCAGTGGGGCCCGTGTGGTGTGATGGGTGCCAGGGACGTCCCACAGCCACGCTCCTGTAGCCTCCTGGGCCTCCCGCCAAGCACTGGCCGAGCCTCCAAGCACGAAGAAACACAAAGCCCAGGCCTTGATTTTCCAGATAACAAAACTAGGCCTGTAATCCCAGCACTTGGGGAGGCTGAGGAGAGAGGATGGCTTGAGCCCAGGAATCTGAGACCAGCCCCGGTAGCATAGCAAGGCCTCGTCTCTACAATATATCAAAAAATTAGCCGGGCGTGGCGACGCGTGCCTGCAGCCCCAGCTACTCAGGAGGTTGCTGCAAGAGAAGCGCTTGAGCCCAGGAGCTGGAGACTGTGGTGAGCTGTGATCGTGCCACTACGCTCCAGCCTGGGTGACCAAGTGAGACCGAAACTCAGGGAAGGGAGGGAAGGAGGGACTCCTCAGGGCCACCCTGCTCTGCAGAGCGCCTGCCCGTGCTCCCTGGGCCTCCGACTGACCGGCAGAGGACAGGCACCCAGCAGCAGCCTTGGCCCCTGGCCTCACTGCCCTGCCTGCCTCGGCCTCCGTTTTCGGCACCGCCCGCGCCGAGCTGCCGTAATCCCCTTCCGGGAACGCCTCTTCCCTCCAGCTGCTCCCTGGAGGGCCTCAAGATGCCTCAGCCCTCCGAGGCCCGGTCACCTCTGGGATGAGGCATTTGGGCCAGACCATTTCTCGGGTCCCTCCAGTGCAGCCTCAGCCGAACCTGAGATGCACTGCTCGCATCCCCCGGCCCAGGAGTGACTCCGCTCCCAAGGGACGTGGCCCATCTGGGGACAGTTTTGGTCGCCACAGCCGAGGGAGGTGTGATGCTGCCAAATGAAGGGCAGAGGCCAGGGATGCTTCTAAATCCCCTTCGGTGCACGGGCGGTCCCACAGTAATGAGCTCTCCGGCCCCAAACGTCCACAGAGGCTAAGAAGCCCTGCTCCGGCCCCGGGCCCCCGCCAGGCGCCCACCCTCGCGCGGTGTCAACTCCTTGAGAGGAGCCACTGGACAGAAAACCCGGGGTGTCCCTTCCAGTGGTGGGGCAGGGGCAGCCAAAGATGGGGAGATTCCAGCTGAGTAGCCGGGGGGGGCTGGCACCAGGGTGGTTATGAGGCTGAGGTCTGGGGTGGGTGTCGGGCGGGAGGGAGGACTTTTGCCGCAGAGCCTTGGAGATCCAGGACTGCCCCACAGGCAGGAGCACGGAGGGACAGGAAGCTCACCTCTGAAGCCAGAGCTGGGGGCGGGACAGGGTGCAAAGGAATGGGGGTGGGGACAGCAGGGGAGGGCCCCACGTGGAGGGTGCCCAGCACAGAAAGGGGGTGAGACCCGCAGTGGCACAGCCAGAGCTCAAAGCCGGAGAGCTTAGTTGGCAGCACTTGGGAAAATTCCCTTCTAAAACCAGAGGGCTGTCTCAGCTGAGATGACTGAGCTCAATGGTAGACCACGGCAGGTCAGTCTGGGCGAGGCAGGGTGACGCCGCGGATCAGGACCCAGCCAGCGCCAGCAGCGACCGGGTGGAGGTCGCCAGCCACCCCTGGTATGGCCCGGGCCGATCACGGCTCTTCACCAAGGAGGGCAGGCCTAGGGACCGCCCTGGGTGCCAGGCCTCCCCACGCCCCTCCCCAGCCGAGGGCATTTCAAAATCACTTCCCTGCTGGGCTCCGAATACATCCTTGTCCAAACTTGAGAAGGCGAGCTCCCACCCTTGCATTTGCCCATGGCCTCTAAGAAGGCCGGGACTTGGGTCTGCCGTGCTCATGGCTACATCCCCTGTGCCCAGTAAGAGCGGCACACCCTTGGCAACGCCTCTGGGGCCTCCTCCCACCGGACGGTCCCACCTGGCCCTGCCCTGACTCCACTGAGTGACAAGGTGTGGGCCCTTGGCTC